GTTGAGCTATAGGCGCTGAGCCTGCCATCCCATTTTTAACATGGTCAAAGACGCTGTACAAACTCCAGAAATCATGTCTACATGCCGGCCAGGTGGAAGGGGAAGAAAAAGGTACAGGATACATGTCAGCTATATTTTAAAGAGGTTCCTAACAAGCTGACACCAAACACCTCTGCTTACATAACATGGGCAGACTTTGTTAGCTGCAGGGAAACTGTGCTTATTCCAGCCTACCACGTGCTAACCTAAAAGTCATAGGCTTTACTTTTAAGAAAGAGAATGGATGTTTGGAGAAAATGAGAAGGTTCTGATATCAATATTCTGTCTCTGTAACTTTGCATAATCTGGTCTCTTAGTCTGTAATGCTTGACTCCCTTCCCTGAATTACAATCATCCTTTAAAGACCAGACCAAATGGTACCTCCAGACCCCTAAAGGTGCAATGAATAATTCCCTTCACAGTTCTTGGGACACTTTGGATATTACTACATGAAACCTCTAACTAACATTCCGCCCTCCATCTGCCTCCTGTCTACTGCCTCTTGGAGTCATTCCCAGGGGCCTGCTGGGAATGGCCATCAGTTCAGCATTCTCTCTAACCTCCAACCCTGGATTCCCCTTGGAGAACCTAATCTTTTTTTTTTTTGAGACAGAGTTTTGTTACCTTACCCTTGGTAGAGTGCTGTAGTGTCACAGCTCACAGCAACCTCGAACTCTTGGGCTTAAGCAATCCTCCTGCCTTGGCCTCCTAAGTAGCCTGGACCACAGGCACCCGCCACAATACCTGGCTATTTTTTTGTTGCAGCTGTCATTTGTTGTTTAGCTGACCTGGGCTGGGTTTGAACCTGCCAGCCTTGGTGTATGTGGCTAGGGGGCACCACTGTGCTATGGGCACTGAGCCAGGAGAACCTAATCTTAACTTTTACTCCTGTAGCCTCAGGGCAGTTTCCTCTCCCTCTCAGCATTTTTTCACTTGCCCATATTGACCATCTGCACAAATCACCTGTCCCACTAGCCTATCTGATAGAGAAGAGGAGGGAGTTGGGCTGATCCTAAGCCCAGATGTACAAGGTGGTGAATTTTACCTAGAGGTCACTGCCACGCTTTCTCAGCCCCATGCTGAAGTTGAGTCCTTTTCTTCAGAGGTCATCCAAGATGCTTCCAATGGCAAGTTGACCCTGCTGGGAGTCTATGTATACACTGCCACGCAATTAAACCTTCCAGAGCCAGTTTTTCCACATTATTCTACTGTTTAAAATCTCTCATTGCCTCCCGAGGGCTTCAGGGTTAAGTCAGACTTCCTCTGTAGCCCTTTGCAATCTTACCCCAACTCCCAGCTCACCTCAGTTCTCACATTTCCACAACGTCTAAGGTAGCAGCTGCACTCAGCTCCGAACTCTCATTCCTGCTATTGGCCTTGTTGGTACACATTTTTTCTGCTCGGTTTTCAAGATTTGCTGTGGACAATACTTCCTTTAGGAGTCTTTCTTTGTAACTTCTGGTAGAGCTGGGGTCCCTATGTACTGCCACAGCCCTCTGAACTTGGTATCAATGGCATAATCATTATACTGTAATGGTCTGTCTCATGCACTAGGCTAAGCAACTTGGGGGCCAGCAGCATATCTTTTTTTTTTGCAGTTTTTGGCTGGGGCTGGGTTTGAACCTTCCACTTCCGGCATATGGGGCTGGCGCCCTACTCCTTTGAGCTACAGGTGCTGCCCAACCAGCAGCACATCTTTCATTGGTATCCCAGCTTTGGGCACACACTAAGCACTCAATAAACACAGCCACGTACACCTAAGGTGGCGGGTTCGAATCCCCAGCCTGGACCCGCCAAACAACAATGACGGCTGCAACCAAAAAATAGCCGGGCGTTGTG